AACCAGGCCTGCCAGCACCCACAAGGTAATGAACTATTTTGTATTCCTATTATTTTTTTTCAAAAGCTTCAGCTCCCCGCTCTATTTCCTTTTGGCCCGCACAAGATTTTAATAAAGTATTAAGGCGCGCCTTACACTTTGAGTTCTGCAAGCCTGGTCTAAACTAATCGTACCACGACGTGTTCAGAAACCATCCAATTCTATGCTGACTCTAGTTATGTTAAAGAAGTAGGCACAGTTTCGTAGATGGCAGACGTGGCGTACCGTGACAGCGTTGACGATTGAAAACAGTGTCAAAGATTTTTGACTCGTAGAGGGAACAATCGGTACACAATAGTCATCTAACAGATGGCAAAAAGAAAACGTTACCACAGCTAATGATACAAAACTAGTCGTCGGCACGTCACATCTCGCCAGCCGCATGCGGCTTTTTAGCCACCTGAGTGCGACTACGCCAATCGGTCACAAATCAGTTTTGACCCCGAAAAATACTGTTATGGACAGGGTCTTGGAAAAAAAAATTGGTTCTCGAAAGAATTTTTTGGTGTCTTTTTTGTTTAACGAGTTTGCGACCACTGCACTCGACGTTTGTTTTTACTGCATTCAGACGATTTTTTAATATTTTTTTTGGATGCTGGGTGACATAGTTCAAAGAATTTATTAGCTTCAGAATGGCCGAGGAATGATCTAAGTGTTTATTTGTGTATTTTTGTGTGTAACTCAATTTAATCTGATACAAACCTTAAATAGTACCATTGTGATTTAAAGTTTAATACCATCCACATGGGATGTATATGAAACGTTTTAAATCCATTTCTCTTGGCCAGAAGCAGGTCAAGTTGACCTAGATTTTTGTGACACACCATTTAGTTAAAAAAATAAGATGGCTGCTTTTCGTCCTTGAAACGATTGCTGATTCCGTCACCCCACAACGCCCACACAGAACCCTGACCGACTCTCCCCCCCCCACACAACCCACACACAGCACACTGCCCCCAACAACCCACACATAATAATCGGACCTCCCACAATGCCCACAACTTACACACAGCACCCTGATCTCCTCCCCCACCAACCCAACACAGCACCCTTACCTCCTCCCCACACAACCCACACACAGCACCTCCCCACAATGCCCATAACGTACACACAGCACCCCGACATCCTCCCCCACAACCCACACACAGCCCCCTCACCTCCTCCCCTCACAACCCACACGCAGCACCCTGACCTCCTCCCCCCACAACCAACACACAGCACCCTGACCCCCAACAACCCACACATAACAACCGGACCCCCCACAATGCCCAAAACGCACACACAGCACCCTGGCGTTTAGTTTTGGATCAGAAGTTACATGAAAAGAAAAAGTAATATTCTAGAAAACGCGAATAGTCCATGCAGTAATCAACCCATTACCACGAAAGTCTCTAGAGAAGTGAATAATTTAAAATAAAAGACCTCACGTTTCCAAACTTTGACTTTTGCTGCATACTGGTTGTCCAAAAGTGCTTTATGTCACTACGCCCCAGATCAAGTCAAGAGCCTCCCACCGCCCGGGGAAAATGTGTACAAAAAAAAGTAAATAATTAATAAAAAAAAAATTACTAAACTTTAAAAACAAAATTTAATGTTTTAAAACATTTTTAAAAATTAAATAATAGAATTTTGGGCATGCCATTCATTTCAATTAATGGAACCAATAAAATATCGTTTCGCTTAATATTTATTAATGATCCATATCATTCAGGTTAAACTTGTTAAAGTCTTACAGAACTCAATTATAAATAAGGTACTATTTTGAAAAATTGTCGCTCATGTTTATAAACTAAAATCCTTTATTTTATTGTTCGCGTATGTCGCTACTTGTAAATAATTAACGTTTACAACTTCACAACTTCAAAGACTTAAAAAATTGCTGTATTTAAAAAAAAACTTAAGAACGATATAAAGGTCTAGAAATTGAATATACTTCTTGCTAAGTATTAATGGTTTGCAATCTTTTTTCAAATGATATTTCATCATAAAACCATGACTGTTCAAGTCATTTTTAAAATGTATAAAAGCATCATGCTTTTAAAAATTTCGTTTTAGCATAACATTTATAGTGCAAGATTTCATCCATGTTCATTGGGTAAAAAAAAAAAAAATTTAAAAATAAAATTATATATCAAAATAAATGAATTTAATGGTTGCTGACAAATAGTGGACAGTTTATCAAGTATTACTGAAATTTATTTTTCATTCACTGTAAGGGCGGAATCCGAGCTATTGCTCTTTAATGGCCTTGGCAAGAATGGAACAGGCCTGCATCATCTGCTGGAGGCACCCCTGGCACTCCAGTCGCTAATGTTGGGCACCCGGCTAGAAGGGGCTCTACTGTCTCCTGTGCCTGTCCACAATGACGGCAGCTCGGGTCCTGCAGTGGGTGTAGTCTGCTCAGATAGCTCCTCGTAGGGCATTGCCCTGTCCTCATCTGCGTGATGAGGCTCTGTTGGTGCCGTTTAAGATCCCACCATTGATCGCGCTTGCGGTTAGTTTTTGGCAGGCTCCGGTAAAGTTTTCGGGCAGTGGTACCCTGTTCCCATTCTTTTCTCAATTCCTCCTAAAATAAGTCCTTCATCATGGCTTTCACCCCCAGTTCGGTCATCGGTCTGTTAGGTTGGAGTTGGGAAGACAAAGCTCTTCCCAGCCTTGCGTAAGTTACTACTGGTCTAATGATAGTGATGTATAGTATATTGCCTTTTTTTGTTCCCCTTGAGAGATCCTTGCCTCCTAGTAGCTCTTGTAGCCTGAAAATAACGGTTGCTTTTCGCAATCTCTTCTTTCACCTCTAATATTATTTGATTGTACTCATTTATAGTAACCCCTATTTATTTGAAAGTAGTTATTCTCCCAAAGGTGTGTTTGTTTATATTGATGTCACCTGTGTTCGTGTTTCGTGAAATTATCATGTATTTTGTCTTCGCTTCATTTCCCCCAAACCAGCTTACCTCAAGTCATCTTTGAGCTCCCCTAATTCTTTAATTATATCGTTGCTGTTTCAATTCAAGAGGTGCCATAACGTCTGCGTATGCCAGGAGCTGCAAGTACTTGATTTATACAAGGTCCCTGATAGTTTTTCTGTACTACCTCTCTGGAAATAGTTTGTAATGGCTCCTCTGGTGCTCACATGTTTGTTTCAAATTTTATTTTCTAACGTGATGTTGAAAAAGATATATGAGCCACCTTGTCTGAGGTTCTGATTAATTTTAAACTCTATCAAGTACTCTGCCTGTATTTTGATTCTAATTTTTGGAGTAGGCCATCCACATACGTTTAGTCAGGGTAAGTTTGTGAGCAGGTCAAAGTTCATGTTGGGCATCGCACATGTATTTCCTGTGCGCGCTGATATATTCTGCTTTTCTTCAAAAGAAATCTAATGGTAAAAATATGATTGTCTCAAATATCCCGTCCCACATTGAAAGAAACACTGAATTTTAAAATGCACCAAAATGCATTACTGTAATTTGATTTTATCTTTTTTTTGATAGTTATTTGAGCCCCTGCCTCCCCTTCCCCTTGCTCAAGACTCTTAGGATTCTTCAATTTCTGCTACCCTCTTCCTTGTTCTTGATCAATGTGATTTATCGTTGTTAAAGCTAATCTAATGTCAAAAGATTACCCTGGGCGCACCACAACCAGAACGAATTTATTTTATGTATAGCACTGGGTGCCATAATGCCTTCCACGACTCTTGAAACATTCTTTCCCCTGGTCAAATGGTCTTAACAAAACATTCAATCATGTGTGTTTAAAAGTGCACGTCTTAATTTTTAAATAGTCAAACATTTTCTCATTAAGGAAAAGCCACCGAGGAGCTTCAATTATGCCCTAATTCCCGATAAAAATGGCAGTATGATTTGCCATTATAACCAATTTTTGAGCCGATATATACAATATCAAGTGGAGCGCCTAGTGTTTGCGCCACTGAAGGTAGGGGGTTAACTTTTTTGCACCGCCACCTTTCACGATTTCAATTCTGCGGTTGCCCGAACACCACTAAATATATTGAAAAAATAAAAATAACTGGGAAGTTCAGCAATTCACTCATCCCCATTTTTACATAACTGGTGTGAGTAATTGGTGCCAGGGGACAAGATTCATTTGTACCAACTCTGAAAACGATTATTTTTCTATCTCATTAGGGGCCCTCGCAATTCTGACACTTGGGGGCATATGTCCATAGATACGCCTCTTTCCCCTGGCACAACCCCCTAAAATCTGAAATGCCTCTTTCCACTGGCACAACCCCCTCAAAATCTGAAATGCCTCTTTCCCCTGGCACAACCCCCTACAATCTGAAATGCCTCTTTCCCCTGGCACAACCCCCTAAAATCTGAAATGCCTCTTTCCACTGGCACAAACCCCTCAAAATCTGAAATGCCTCTTTCCCCTGGCACAACCCCCTCAAAATCTGAAATGCCTCTTTCCCCTGGCACAACCCCCTAAAATCTGAAATGCCTCTTTCCCCTGGCACAACCCCCTCAAAATCTGAAATGCCTCTTTCCCCTGGCACAACCCCCTAAAATCTGAAATGCCTCTTTCCCCTGGCACAATCCCCTCAAAATCTGAAATGCCTCTTTCCACTGGCACACCCCCTCCTTAAAAACTTAAATGCCATCCTGTGCAAATTATCTGCAAGTAACACTGATGATACTGATGACAGAGAGAGTAATTTTAATGTTTCAAACAAATAACAGAGGCATTCAGATATGAATGATGAGACCTACATTGGAAGTTATTCGACACAATAGTCCCTAATCTCATATACAAATAGTCGAAATTCTTTCTCCTTAAAAGACCCAAACTTGCACAGTGAAAAGAATTCACAAACCTCCGCGTGTGAGACAAACACGATGCTACCTTCATTCCCCAAAGCGACCCCTCTCTTCTTTTTGTATCTGCGCTAGGCTGTAAATAATAAATGCATGGGGCTCATCGAATTCGAGACCAGCCAGCCACAGCTTACTATAAGATTTGAATACCTTACATTTTTTGAACACAGCACAGCCGCATTGCAAAGGTAAAAATTAGTTAGATTTATTTATTTTAAAAAATGTTATATATAAGAGAGGTTTTTAATATTTAAATGACAGAAAATCACGACAGTGGTTGAGGTTAGATTTAAAGAAAAAAGAATAAAGACAGTGGCGTAGATCATATGTAAAAGACAGAAAATGAAGGCAGTGGCGTAGATTAGATTAAAAATACAAAAAAAATCAAAGCATTGCGTAGATTAGTTTATAAAACGCCGAAAATAAAGGCAATGCATATATTAGTTTGACAAGACTGTAAATCAAGGCAGTGGCGTAGATCAGATTTAAAAAGACTGAAAAGCATAGCTAAGACGTAGATTATCTTTAAAAGACAGAAAAAAAAGCAGTGGCGGAGATCGGATTTAAAAGACGGAAAATCACTACAGGGGCGTAGATCAAACTTTAAAGACAGAAAGTTAAGACAGAGGCGTTGATCACATTCAAAAGACAGATTATCAAATCAGTGGCGTAGATAGCAATTAGAAGACAGAAAATCAAAGCAGTGGCGAAGATTACTTTTAAAATACAGAAAATCAAAGCAGTGGCGGAGATCGGATTTAAAAGACAGAAAATCAAATCAGTTGCGTAGATAAAAGACAGAAATCAAGGCAGGTGAGTAGGCCTAAATCAGTTTTGAAAGAAAGAAAACCAAGGCAGTCGTGTAGATAAAATATAAAAGACAAAAAAACAACAACAAAGTAGTGGCACAAATCACATTTTTTTTAAAAAGTCAAGACAAATTTATAGATCACATTTTAAAAGAGAGGAAATCGAGGTAAGGGCCTATATTAGTTATCTATAGATATAACAAAACAAAGGTTTGTAAGTAGTTAGCAGCTAAAAACAACGCCCCAAATGCCACCAACTTAAGCGTTCAAAATGAAATCCCAGGCGAAACAGCAACGTATTAGACCATCGGGACAGTTGTATTGAATCAAGAAGAAGTTATCACTTATCCAACAGAATTCTTGAATTCACTTGACCTGCCAGGCAACGGTACCAAGCTTTCAGTGAAATACATGATAAACAATACCGTTGAAGCTTTTATTTTAAATTGAAAATTTAAAGAAGAAGTGGTAATGTTGGAAGGCATCCCAATGATTCCAACAGGTATGCCATTTGGAATTCATGCGTCTGCAGTTTCCGATATGATTCGCATTTGCAATGAGCATCAACAAAGCACAGGGGCTATCGCTACAAGCGTGTGGACAAAATAGAAAAACCCAATGCTTCTCCTATGGACAGCTGTATGTGGCCTTCTCTCGTGTCGGAAAACGTTTTCATTTATTCGTATGCGCACCAGATGGAAAAACAAAAAACAAAAAGTGTGCATTTAAAATCTCTTCAAGAAACAAAATAAAAATGCAAACACGTTCTTCTTTGAGTGGCATTGCAACGTATGCCGGGTACTCGCTAGTAAATACATAAAATTAAAAATGTTGCGATGTTAAAATTTTAAAGACATAAAATCAACTCAGGGGTCTAGAATGACTTTAAAGACAGTAAATCAAATCATAGATCATTTTTTAAAAGAGATAAGTAAAGGCAGTGGCGTAGATATTATTTAAAAGAAAGAAAATCAAAGCATTTTTGCGTAGAGTAATTTTTAAGACAAAAAAATCAGAAAAGCTGCAAAGATCGTGTTTAAAAGACAGAAAATCATGTCAGGTACGTATATAAAATTTAATGGACAAAAATTCAAATCAGTGGCGTAGATAAATTAAAAATACAGTTATAAAGTCTGCTGTGTAGTTTGGTTTTAAAAGACTGAAAATAAAGACAATGAAGTAGATTAGATTTAAATGACAGACCACCAAGGCAGTGTCCAATAATATTTTTCAAATACATAAAATCAAGTCAGGGGCGTAGATCAGATTTAAAAGACAGAGAATCAAAGAATTGGCCGAGATTACTCTTAAAGACAAAAAGTCCGAGCAGTGGCGTACATTACATTTAAAGGATAGAAAAATCAAAGCAGTGGCGTAGATCGGATTTAAAAGTCAGAAAATCAAGTCAGTGGCATAGATCAGATTAAAGAAAACACAATTAGTAGGATAAAACTATTTCCATTAAAGATCACAATTACATCTTAAATGCATTTTTGTAGCAGTCTTCTTTGACTTTGCCTCTTTAACTGACATGTGACCATTTTGAAGCACGTCTTTCTGCGGTCGATATACGAGCACCTACAAACCAAGACAGTTCCGCTCAACTTTTTTCACTTCAACTAACAGGAACCTTCCATTCATTATGCCAAGAATTTTGAGGCATTTTTTTTCCCTTTTCCCCCACTCAACTCAAACTGTCAAGGACAAATCCTGCCCCCCCCCCCCTTTTTACCTCTGAATACAAGATAATTATAACTTTTTTCACTTCAACTAACAGGAACCTTCCATTCATTTTGCCAAGAATTTTGAGGCATTTTTTTTCCCTTTTCCCCCACTCAACCCAAACTGTCAAGGACAAATCCTGCCCCCCCCCCCCTTTTTACCTCTGAATACAAGATAATTAAAAAATACATTGGTTTGTTTGTAAAAAATGAATAGGACATTGTTATCGGTGGCTATAAACACATGTGTTACACTCTAAACAAAAAAAAAACTACTTCTTAAATATTTTTACAATTAACAACAATTAGAGTCTATGGCTGTAGTCTTATATATATATAGTTTTATATATATGTAGTTTTGTAATGTTGAATTTTGTACTTCAATGTGGTATGCACCGCGCTTCAAGCCTTTGGGGATGAAGCGTGATGTTTAAATTATCTTTATTATTATTATTTTATAAATAACAGGATTTATTAAACAATTGACAATGTCTAAATATTAGTGTTCTACATTTCTGGCAAGTTTAAGTTCGTTATCCAAATGTTTCTCGATAGCAATATCGTATTATAAGGGTTCGATTTTAATTGATCATTCTCCTATTAATATTATTATGGACCCGACTGACATCGTCATTGTCTCGTCTAAATATCAGCATTAAAAATATCAGCACTAAAAATATCATTATTAAAATAGCATTAAGATATAAGCATTTATAATATCATGACTAAAAATATTAGCACTAAAAATTATGAGTACTAAATATATCAGGACTAAAATTATAAGCACTAAAAATATCAGCATTATGCGTATCTGCACTTAAAGTATCAGCACTAAAAATAGCACTTAAACATCAGCATATTACTGGTGCTCTACTGATAATTAATTTTTTTTTTACTGTCATTAAAATTAACAACTATTTTTGCAGAACATTATCTATGCAAAATTTTGTTTTGAATTGAATTTTGCATATACATGTATATCAATAAAAGCTATATTTGTTGTATTCAGTGTTGTGCCCTCCAACACTTTACAAAAAAAAAAAACAAAAAAAACAACAACTTTTTTCGGTCAACATTTGTCAAACTCGTTTCAACCCCTAACACACCTTATTAATTGTCGATCTGTTGTCGAGCTTTTTTCCACCTCTCCCGCAAATTTACTGATTTAATGGCCGTTATTTTGTTCATACCAAATTTAAGTTATATTTATTAGTTCCTTGACTCTTATGACAGGTCTGACATGACATAATCTTAACTAAAACAAATGCCCTTTGATGGAAAAAAAAAATGGGTGCCCGTGCAATGTGTGGCGGGTAACATGCCCCCCTCCCCCCCCACCCGATGATAAATAAATACTAAAACAATATATTTATATTGGCACTTTGTCTCTTTGAATATAAAATATTTTATATAAAAAAATTAATATTTCTTATTAAATGTCACAAATGACATAGGCTGAGAAGGGAAAAGATAGGCGTTAGTACCGTACTAAAGTGCAATACACGACGGGGTAGTTAACCTTACATCGGCAGAGTTAATGATAGTACAGGGAAGACATGATAGCTTTGGAAGCAAGGAGACACCAAGTGGACAGCGCGAGAACGGTTATCACAAATGAATTCGAATAATGAGTTTCGTAGTCAGCTGGTCAATGTTGAATGTTCAGAAATGACATGGTGATCGTCAGAGTAATTATCAGTGATAGAAAAGAGCTCAAAGGTATAGATGCTAATAAGCGGAGAGTGAAGGATCTGGTCTTGAGAGCTTCGTAAGTACGCGTATCTGGTGGAGTTTATTGTCATACGGCGGGAGATAGAAGGGATCAGTTTATGGAGACACGGGTAGTAGTTAAAGATTCGTGGACGGTCTGAAGTCAAAGACGCAGTGCTTTTAGCTGTAGTCAAAGATAAACATAGCAATAGTCAGATTTATTAATCTCATTGAAATTAATACGGATAAAAAGGACAGACCTCCAAGTAACCAGTAGAAATCTTAAAGTACCATATGGGCTTAGAAGCCAGCTAAATTAGAAAAAGAAGTCATTTGATGATGACGTGTGTAAGACAAGTTGTAACCTAACAACTGTGTCCACATCAACGACACTTACAAATGAGCTATATAAATAAAATGAACAACAAATACATGAATCGATGGATCTTGACCAAACTTAATACACATACTCTTGATTAGCCATATTCAAATACCGAAGGGTACTTAATGCATATTATCCATATCTCTGGGGCCGGGGGCCCATGTCATTTTTCCTTGTATAAGCTTTATAAAATATCGATATGCTTAGTACTCCGACATGAATAGATGGATTTTGACCAAACTTAGAACACATACTCTTGATTATCCATATTCAAATACCGAATGGTATGTAACGCATAACATCCATCCCTCTGGGACCGGGGGCCCCGTTTCTTACTTTCTTATCTATACTAATAAAAGGCAAAGCCATGACTCAATCATAACTAATTCTCCAACTTCTCGAGTAGATGGCGGCCTGAAATTTGGCAGGCTTATTCCTTACAGCGTATTTACCAAAGTTGAGCAGGTTTCTTTTCGAAACTCTATTCCGTTTGGGGCCGGGGGCCCAAAATATCATGTTTTCCCATATTAGCTATATAAATAAGATGGTCAACAAATACAACTACATGAATATCTGGAGCTGTACCAAAATTAACAAACATACATTTGATTATCCATATTCAAATACCGAAGGTTACTTAACACATAATAACCAACACTCTGGGACCGGGGCCCCCATTTCATTTTTTTTCTAATTGGAGCTATATAAATATCAATAGTCTTATTACTCCTACATGAATAGATCGATCTTGCACAAACTCAGTACACAAAATCTTGATAATCCATATTCAAATAATGAAGAGTACTGAACTCATAATATCTATACATTTGGGGCCGGGGGCCCCTTTTCATTTTTTCTAATATAAGATATCAATAGGGTTAGACAACACATAGGTTCTATGTGATTAGGTGGATCTAGAACTTGCTTTGTAGCAATACCCTTCTACGTTCGTTTTAAGATATCGTTTTATTTAGTATCCCATCCATTCAAGGCTATCTGGAATATTCTAGAAACTTCGATAGTTTAAATAAGCTATGTCAATGGCATTTGTAAAACCACTTTCAATAGGACAAGTTTTAAATGTATAATTTATCTCAATGATCAGCCACCCATCTGAGACATAAACAAAACGTTACTTTATTACATGGGCCCCCAACGGGGCCCCCGTATCAATTTAAATGTATTATAGTCAGTAGCACAATTTAGTTGTAGAATATTTCGCATTCGAGAAATAATTACGTAATATGTAATTTTTACACGTTTCATGGAGGATATTTAATTTAATCTAGAATGTTCTATATTGTTCTAAGGGGATGTATAATTAGATCTTAAAGCTTATTCAAACAAAATCGCACTAAGCATGATCCCATAGAGAAACAGGATCCTAATGGGGTCACATCGGTTACGCGTTTCCATCGGGGAACAGGATACCATCGTGATCCCCTCGGGTAACGGGCTCAAACCGCGATCAGGATCCTATCAGGAAAAAGGATAACATCGACAAAGAGAGTACATAGGTGGAACGGGATCCCTAAATGAACGGTATCCTAACGGTATCGGTAGCGCATCGGAATCCACGGAGATCAGGATCTCACTGGGATCAAGACACCGACGGGATCGGAATACCAATGGGATCTGGATTCCCCCTGGAATTAAATAGGATTCCACCGGGAATGGGATAAAACCGGGATTGCGCCGGGATCGGATTCAGAATGGTATTAGGGACTCATCAGAATTGGGGTCTTACCAGGATTGGCGTCCCAAGGACATACCCTAGAAAAAATTGGCGTTGATTTGAGTCAGGTTTAATTTTTGCAAGGGAATGCATTGTATAGTCTCTGAAATCTTCGGATACTTGATAATTTTGTACCTTTTTTTTTTCTTTAAAAAAGTCTGTCTTCTGCGACGCGTGGGTATTTTGTAGTATATATATATATATAATTGTTTCCTGAAACCCATTTATCGCGGGTACCAAGTGACATTTATGACAACATCTTTCCTTAAGTACAATAACTTTTCACAAGGTGCTCGTAATCATATGAAGTGAGTGTCACAAAGGTGTTCTCATGATGCAGTAGCATTCTTAAGCATCATTCTTAAATATTCTAAGTCAGATAGACAGCTCTATTTCTAAAAAGATTTTAGAAACTCAAAGTAAGCTTTTGAAGATATTATCAACAATCATTTTATGCGGAACACACAAGTTCGCACTTATTGGCAAAAATAGGTAAGGCGGAAATGTCCATGATCTAAAGTAAGAATTTGTGTTTACAATTGTGTTAGATTAAGAGTTAAGTCCCAATCACTAAGAACCCTAGAAAAGCAGTGCCGTCATAAGGCAATGATACACTGCGCGCCCTTGCCCCTGGTCTTACGGCCTTTGTCAACCTCATGCTCTGGGGGCCTATGCTTCTGGTGGGCCTGAAAATTTGATAGGATGTGTTGACATTGTCTATGTTCCCAGTTTAAGCTCGATAGGTTGAGGGGAATTGCTTTATTCAGCCCTGTTTTGCATATCAGAACGTGACCGAGGACCAAAAGCGAAGTTAATATAAGTGATTCAAAAGCGCTTAATATAAGCAAATACAATTATCTTTTAAAGGAAACATTGCTAATTTTGGTGCTAAAGGATTCCCTGCCCCACGCCCCTTGAATACCTAAAATGCTACCCCCCCTCTCTCTAATAGTAACTGTTCAAAACGCATAGGCAAACATTTATTAATATGTAGGTTTTACACAGAGCCGACTTTTTTTTACCTCCCCTTCTATAAGAAGTACAGGGGATTTTATAATTAAGTTCCTGTTAAAGTTTAGCGCTCACACCCCCTCCTTCGTACGGCCCTAAGTATGTTGAGGGTTGGATGCCTCAGAGCAATACCTTGTACAGGGCTCCGCTTACATAAACCGCCTGGTTTAAGGGTGACAGAAATAAGAGTTGATGCCTGAAGTTTTTGAAATATTTGGAAAAGATGAACGCCGACTTTCATTCAATTTTCAAGGATTGAAATTAAAGATTATCAAGAAACGTGCGGGACCATTAGCTTTATAGTTTATATTATAAGCTGACTAGTTTATGTAAAGAATTTTTTTTATCAAAATGGCTGTTTTATGTTTGCAAAAAAGCTCAATTTGAAAAGTAGGCTACTATAAATACATAGGCCTACGGTCTTTAGCTTTCAACTATATGTTTATATAATTAAAAAGCATGTCCAAAATGTGTTGATGCGCACGTTTCCGGGAAAATTCCTGTGGGCGCCCATAGGATGGAGATCGTATTGTTAAGTTAAAATATTTCGCAATAGTTATTTATATCTGTAGTTTATATTCCTTTTTTTTTAAAACCTATTTGCTCAAATTTACCTCCAGCCTCTTTCATCCCAGTATGACCCTAACCTGTATTCTACCACTAACTACTTTTTTTTTGTTACATAATGATTTAATCATACACATTTAAAACCTACAACTAACACAACGAGTCACTCACTATGGTTTTCAATGCAGCTTCTATGGTAGCAGCTATTGTCCTTTGCGTAATCCACACCACTGAGTGAATACATTTGGTTGCAAGTCTGTTCCATCCCCTCCCCTCACCTGTCTCGCCCCACTTTCCTCAGAGCCCAGGTGAAGCCTTGAAAAAAATCTCTCAACAACGGCCCCCACCACAGCGAGCTTAAAGAGAAAACGATACCAACTCCACCACCCCCACCAACCCCACCCCCCCCTGCCATTATCTCGTCGGCGGATTATAAAAAAAAAAAGATTTGTAAACAAAATGGCGTAATGTTCCAGCTCAAATTATAAGGCTTGCCGCTTCTGTTATTTTGGGGTGACACGGTCCGTTTAACTCGTGGAACCCCCCCTCTCATCGGAACCCCTCCCTCCCGACCCCCTCCCTCCGGATCCCCTTCCTCCGGACCTCTTTCTTCCGGACCCCTTTTCCCCGCGCTCGGCACTATCCACGAGTGTAAGGGTTTTTCCCTTTCCGGACTTCTGCCAACTGTAAGTGACAAGGCACTGCTTATGTACTATTTAGTGATATAAAACTCACAATTGTTATAGTAAGTGATTAGTCAATGCTATCATACTAAGTGATAACTCACTGCTGATATGTCCAATGAAATTCAAGAGGTCGTGATCAGTAATCTGTGAATGATGTGTCTTAAATGCTTCTGAGATGGACTAGACTAGCTCATCTTTCAAAGTTTAGAAAGGTTGCGTGAACGCTTTGCACACAAAGCTTCATAAATCCTGATACATACTCTGCATTTAGTATGTGATTAATCAATGTTATCATAGCAGGTGATAACTCACTGCTGTTATAGTAAGTGATTAATCAATGTTCTCATAGCAGGCGATAACTCACTGCTGTTATAGTAAGTGATTAATCAATGTTCTCATAGCAGGCGATAACTCACTGCTGTTATAGTAAGTGATTAATCAATGTTCTCATAGCAGGCGATAACTCACTGCTGTTATAGTAAGTGATTAATCAATGTTCTCATAGCAGGCGATAACTCACTGCTGTTATAGTAAGTGATTAATCAATGTTCTCATAGCAGGCGATAACTCACTGCTGTTATAGTAAGTGATTAATCAATGTTCTCATAGCAGGCGATAACTCACTGCTGTTATAGTAAGTGATTAATCAATGTTCTCATAGCAGGCGATAACTCACTGCTGTTATAGTAAGTGATTAATCAATGTTCTCATAGCAGGCGATAACTAACTGCTGTTATAGTAAGTGATTAATCAACGTTCGCCTAGTAAGTGCTAGCATAGATGTCATATTTTGTTGACATCAGAAATAAATGAAATACAAATTACTCGGTCACCAAAGAGGATCAGTGAATAATCTGACACAAAACATGTGGAGACCATGACTCTTTTTAATTCCTAAGTTGTGACATTATTTTAAATGTATGACTCGAACTCAAAGTGAAGGAGACAAATATTTCCGCTCCCAAACACCCACAAATATAAAGGTCATGTCAGGCCAATATAATAATTAATCCCACCTTCACACCATCTAGGTACGCGCGGGCTGGGAGTGGGGGCGAAATTTCGACCACCTAAGGCAGAGCAACCCCCAGCAAAGCTTTGGCCCCTGACATTCTCTGACAACTGGAGCCCGCCTGACCCACTTCCCCACCCACCCCCACCCCCAGGTGCGAATTCATTTAACATTTGAATTCAATACCGCGTTTAGGATGCTCTTGCCGTTTAGTATCGCCATCGCATCGACAGTAACCCAGTTCCACCCGTCAAAGGTTACAATAAGTCTCAAGATCAAGGCCTCAACGTCCACACATTCGTCTTCCTCTGCATCTCTTAATCTCAATCAGTTAGCCTAGAACGATTTTCGCTCATTTTTTAAATTTATTATTTTTTTTTTAAATTGCTGAACACATTTTAATTACTGTATAGTACAAAAGAAGTGAAAGTTTGCCATGCAAGCTACCAAATTTTAATGTATGCATGAAAAGGTACATACCTCTTACTATAACGAACACATGTTTATGTTGGGTATCGGGAAAACAGTCAGAAGACGGTAGAAATTCAAATAGATTACGCTGCCAGCCATGTATTTTGCAACAACGGGTAAATGATGACACTCTTTTCACCCAAAAATGAATCCCCATAAATGCTCTAAATGAGATTACTTTTGAAAAAAAAATATTTCAAGTACGTACAATTTTCTATTTTTTTCCGAAAAAAGGGACGGGATAGATCTGCGGCGAAAAGCTGGTGGGTCAATAGAATATTAATTTAATTCAGGGCATGAAAAGCATGCCCGGTTTTGAGCCTTGGGGGAACTAATTGTGATTCATTCAAATTTTTCTTGTACGCATGAATTGTCGAATTTTAACTCACACCTGCTTTGCTGGATATTACATTTTATGAAGGATTTAGACAAAAAACTTTGTTTTTATGGGTGTGTAATAAAATTCTTCTAAGTAACTTTGATTTGTCCGTGGGTGGCTGGCTAAATCTTGGACGGCTAATATACACCCGTCCCTTTAACCTATCATGATGAAACCTGTCACAAAGCTTCGTTGCCGATGACTCCATGTTCTATCAAATTTTCACAGAGATACACTTACAAGCTTAATGAGCGCACTTTTAAAATCAAAACGTAAGTTACGATATCTCGTATTGTTTCGTTAATGTGTCCAAAAATGACCTGTTCCTCGCATTGGACAGCGGTGATATCTCTATCCAGATCCTCTTTGACCTTATTTTGGCCTTTGTCACTGTTAACCATCAAACCCTTTACGAAACTCTTGAAAATTACTTTGGAATTTTTGGATCAGTTTTGGCTTGGTTTAGGTTTACCGCTCCCATAGAAAGCAGGCGGTCGCTGTCTATGGCTGTCTTTCCGGCAGTGCTGAACACGGTGTACGGAGTCCCACAGGGGTCTGTTTTGGGCCCGGTTCTATTCACAATGTATAGCAGGCAACAGCTCCTTTGGCTGTGGAGAGCCAATCATTGGCAGATGACACGCAGCTATACAAACATACCCATCCCTGTCTTTTTGTTTCTGCTATCCGGACTTTGCAGGATAGCATTGATGATGTCAAGAAATTGGTGAAACTCAGCTCTCCCTACTTCATTTCATGTAGGTAACGCCGATATACAATTTACATACTCTGCTAGTAAATTTGGTTATATTCTGTCTATCAACGTGTCTCTCGATATCATATCTCTCACATTTGTTGCTCTGCGTACACCGCTTTCGTCAGATTAGGTCAATACGCCACTACCTCACAAATAGCGCAAGAAAAACCACACTCTGTGCTCTTGTTCTCTCTCGTCTTGACTATTGTAACTTTCTTCGATCAGGTTCAATAAAACACTTCTTAGAAAAAGTACAAAAGATTCAAGACTCAGCTGCTAAACTACTTCTACAGGCAAAAATAAAAGGGTGATCACGTCACACAGCTGGTTCATTCACTTCATTGGCTTCCTGTAAGTGAGCGCAGATTCTGTCCCCTTCGAACAGCCGTATGGAAGGCTCTGCACCTATCTAAAAGAAATGATTTCCAAATATGTAGCCTTAAAGAACTTGCCCTCTTCCTTACAGTCCGTACTGAGAGTTCCAAGTGTGGGTAGACAGAGAACGAAATAATACAGAGTGAGCTCTTTTGAAGCTAAGGCGCCTAAATTATGAACAAAATTGACTAAAGCTTTGAGGAAAATTAAAAATAATTTTAAAAATCATTTAAGAGAAAGTTTAAGACATTTTAAAAAAAATAGATTTTCTGACATCAGAACACTTTGAACTTGCTAGAATGGCATGGAGACAAGCGCTAAAGAAATCAATAAATGCTACTTCTCTTGTACATGGTCCCTTCTTGCTTGCATGACCCCTTCTATCTCACATGACCCTTCTCTCTCAAATTATCACTTATTTCTCACACGATATCATCTCTCTCACGTGATTCCTTCTCTTACATGACCCCTTCTCTCTCACATGACCCCCTTCTTTCTCAATTGATACATTGTTCCTAAAAACATCCCTTCTCTCTCACATGAACCCCCCCTTCCAAATGGTCCTTTCTCTCATTCAGAGTTAACACCTGACTGACACTCCACACTCAGACAGCTGAGACAACCACGCATTGTGAAATTCAATCGTCAATGTCACTGTATTGTAACTCGTGTAGGGAATGAATAGGGCTGATGGCAGTCATATCCAGTTCTCTTTTTTTTTCTTCCTGGTTTATAAAAATCAATATCTTCTGCCAAATTAAGAATTTCTTCGTGTTCACGGGTACGGTGAATGTAAATGCTATTTAGGGCCCGACAAGATATTCACGATTTAAAGTTTTATATATTAAAGTTTATCTTTATTTAGCGGCGATTACGTCTGTGATTATCCTTCATGTTATCGTAAAAAAATTATTTGTTGAAAACAGAATTAGAATCAGTAGCCTTAATACTTGATTTCTGTAATTATTATAATTTATATTTTCTTTCGCAGAACCTATTGAAATTCATACACTTCCCGTTGATTAGCATTTCTTGATCATCATGGCACAGTTACAAGATATGAACCCTAGTAAGTATATAGAATTGTTCATATAACTGTTAACACGTTTTTGTTTGTTTGTTACAACAAATTGTAATGACTCGGACATTGACAGTGTTAAGACACACGGACATAAAAAGTGTTATTAATCAAGGTGAAATGTGTGATGCCCCCAAGGAGTTAGATGTTGAAATGATTGGAAGGATCAGTGGCATGGTGTGAAAAGACAAGAAAGGATTCCAAGAGGAAGATAAACAATTTCAACTAGTTGATGGCTCTCCTCCTATCCGACTTTTCCCTGTCCTCGTTTTTGTCGTATCTTTTCTGTAAGGAAAAGAAACGACATTTTCAGCGTAGACACTGTCCAGAGACTGTGACGCCATTTTATTTACACACAAATCTACCCATATTTATATTTTCAACAAGTGGGGGGGGGGCTGGGGTAGGGGGATTATCCCATATTATAAATTATGTTCTTTTAGATTGTAGTTTTATCTGTAAGCTTAAGTTAATTTAATTTAGTGGAATCTTGCTTTTTAGTTTTTATTTTAGCTCTAAATAATGGTTTTTAGTAGTTTTTCTGTGTTCACGTTTTTTTTTCTTCAAATTTAGCGTTTTGTCCGCACTGTCAAATTTGTTTTTTGTAATCCGCCAACAGTCGCCCTTTTACACGTAATATTAGGGTGGCTTTATCAGTTTGTATTATCTTACAAAACATACATTAGTTTAACTTTAAGTTATATCCACAGAGGGAATATCTTGGTCTTTGAACTATGTGATGTTAAGTCTTTCGGATGTCGGCGTCATGTTGCACTGGAGAAGGAAAGTTGTTTTCCCTTGCCCTAGGTTCTATTTCTTGTATTTGAAGGTTTTAAAAAGGGTTTTCTAAATGTTTTGTATTGGAACGATTCAACCACTTGATCCTCTTTGCATGAGATGTTTTCATTTTATCTCTTAACTGGCTGTAACATCTTGACTTGTTTTATGTATTAGAGAGTCGTTTTGTTTGATGGCGCACATGCAAGCGAGGCAGACACGGGGGGAGCCTTGCCCCCAGGTAGTGTGGCGTGTTGCTTTTCATGGGTGTTGCAGGTATTGGTCTGTTCCCTTATAATAATGTTTTAGCACGTATTTTTTGTGGTCTTTCCTATCTCGTCCTATGTGCTATTTTCTCATTACTTCAGGTTTACTCTCTATGTCTTGAACATTGATTGCCCCCTCTAATTTTGTTGCCATAAGCGTTGAGTGTTGGATTTTTTATCAAATTTCGGTTCAATCAAAATTTCATTCGAGCAAACTGCTTGTCAAACAAATTTCCATTTTACCATACTTCGATTCAATCAAAATTCCGTTCAACAGAACTGTCGTTCGATCAAAATGCCTTCGAAAAAACTTCCGTCGATCAATTTTCCGTCAATGAAATTTCTTTCAAACAAATTTATGGACACGCAGCCGTAATAATTTTGAATCATGATCCCTAGGTTAAAATACTTTATCTATATAAAGAAAATTAAAATAATTTAAAAAATGTGTGCATTATTAAAAAAGTGAACATTATCGACCTTTAAACATCTTCCAAGGTGCTTTTCTTAAAGTGAATTTCGGATAAAAAAGTGTTTATAGACATGGGCCTAGTTGGAGGGAGGGAACCGCTCCAGGTAACACCATCTCATAGGTGACACCTAATTGAAAAAGTTCCTATTGACAGAGCATACACTGCCCGTTGTAACAAGATTTCATAAAAAATAAAACCGATCACACGTACATTTTTCTACACACGTGACCTTATTAAATGCATGCATTATTAAAAGTTCAAGGTGGATGCGTGAGAAATGAGGCAACCCTATAATTAGGTTAAAAAAAACTATTTTGACCATGATTCAATGCAAATCGAAATGGTCGGTAACTTTCGTAAGTGACTGGAGGCTATATTTATCTAAATTCTGAAAAAAACATAAAGCTTTCCATTGAAACCAATGAAGATGTGGTGGCGCGATTTTAAGTACATTACTCGATTAAAGATTAAAAACATTAATAAAATTAATTGTACTCATTACTAGGCTTAAAAATAGTATTATGCATAATGTTCTCTTAATAATTATATTAAATTTATTTAAATTTGAAAGGAAGCTTTATGAAACAAAATATAAGTCGAAACCCAGAAATATAAAAAAATAAAAATGAGCATGATTTTTATATATGACAACGTATTTTACTTGATATTCTGTGATTTCACGTTAGTCTGCTACCTTTGCCATTCGGCCGATCTACTCTTTGAAGTTAATCCTACACAATAGTAAATATAGACTAAAGGCTTCATTCTTGACAAACTGGTGACCAACTAAGAGGCCTTAAGATTGTTTCTGCATAAGAAGGGCTGTCGCTTTGTGGAACAGGATATTGAAAAAGTACTTTTAATCTAATACCAATATGAAATTTCGGTAGAGAGAATATTATGATTTAAGAAGAGAATGTGAGAATAACTATTTGCGATCCACCATTGGACAGTCAAGGCTTTCTGATCTGGCACTCCTATCAATTAAAAGTGATACAGTGAATGATACTGATTTTGGCCAAGTGATATCAAGGTTTTCAGCTTTGAAGACCAGAAAAATAATTTTTTAAATAAAGTAATTTAATGTAAAGAAAAATATAAACGTTGTTACAGTTCTTAAATATAATTGCCGCCTGACCTTCAATTAATTTGTTTTTCTTCTTGTTACTGTTATACCGTGGATGTATTTTAACAAGAGTAAATCTATCGTTGAATTCGAGGGAGATGGGTGACATCATGAGTTTACTGCACCAAGTGAGACCAATCCTCGCTACGCAAATGTGTGTATGATATTGGGGGGGGGGGAGGGGGGGGACATACGGTAGGTTCAAATCTGAAAGAACCACCGTCGCATTCTGAAGAGCAGCGTTGATGTTCATTGATAAGTTAGATTAAATTAAAATTGTCATACTTAAAATAATAATCAAATCAATGATTATATGTAATATTGATAACTTTCGCAACCTTTCTTTCAATCTTCTACGCTGGCTTTCACGAACGCAGAACGGGGTTGGGTGGGCGGTAGCTACAGTGATGCTCTTTGGGACTAAAACATGGTTTCCTTGATCATTACCAACCTCTAATGTTTGCGAGTGTTCCTTTGTAATATTTACGTGTAACTCCTGGTCATAGAAATAATGGAAACAGATCGCAAATAGTTACATATGACTTAACCATATATACTCAATAATATAACGAAATTTAGATTTCTAAAATGAATAAATAGTATCCGTCAGAGGACATATGCTTTGAATATTATTTTTTTTAAACAAAAGCTATCTTGGTATAGAATTGGACAAATAACTGTATTTTAAAGGACCACAAAAAATAATGTAATTAGAGAAACAAGATAATAATGATAAGAATAATTTGATTTAATTCTAATGAGAAGTTTTTGTTTGTTTTAAACACAGTTAAATTTGGTCAAATGGAAACTTCCAGCTCAAGCATTGAAGGTTAGTAGCGTATACTATTATGTGCAACACATCTAATATATATATACATATATATATTGTTACGCACTGACTTGTATTCGGAGAAATTAATCCCCTATTTTAATTTTAATTGGCTCGTTGTAAACAGTGCCTAACAAAGGACGATACCATAGAGTCAACAACTTTAAAGATACGACACGCAAAACAGTTTCTAGTTACAAATAATTAAGATTTATTAAGTCTTAAGATAATTACAAAAGAAAAGAAAATATAATGACAATCTTCAAACTAAAATGGTTGATCTTGTACCGGTACACAGTTAAAACAGTTATAATAATGTGCCAATAAATAATGCGAAATAAACACATATGAGCACAAAAATACACAAAGAATAAAACACGCCTCGTAAAGTTAATAAAATGTATCTGAATCTCCGTCCCTCCGTCCGTGCCTGTCAATCCCTTATATAGGTTGCGTAAGCCCTGCCTTCCAGACCACTTATGACGTTTCTAGAACAATCACATTCATACTACAAAATATTATTTGGAACAGATAAATTATTTTTAGTAGCTGGCGGCATAAAACACGAAAAGATCAAAGGACTAAGCCACAACCGTCTGTGAACACAGCGTCTCGTGCGGTGTCAATCATAGGGGACGAACGAGAAAAATTATGTAAAAAAGCTCTATATAACAGTATGTTGATTGAAGTGACGTTGATTATCAGTGACGTTGATTGTCAGTGATGTTTATTGTCAGTGCCATTGTTGTCATTGACGTTGTTGTTAGTGACGTTGATTGTCGGTGACGTGGATTGTAAGTAATGTTGATGATCATTTAATTTATTGTCAGACATCTTAAATGTCAGTGACGTTAATTTTCAAGGACGTTGATTGTCAGTGACGTTGATTGTCAGTTACGTTGATTGTCAGTGACGTTGATCGTCAGTGACATGGATTGTCAGTGACGTTGATCGTCAGTGACATGGATTGTCAGTGACGTTGATTGTAAGTGACGTTGACGATCAGTGACGTTGATTTTCAGTGATGTTGATTTTCAGGGACGTTGATTGTCAGAGATTTTATTGTCAGTGCCATTGTTGTCATTGACGTTGTTGTTAGTGACGTTGATTGTCAGTGACGTGGCTTGTCAGTAATGTTGCTTGTGATTTAATTTGATTGTCAGAAACCTTAAATGTCAGTGACGTTGATTTTCAAGGACGTTGATTGTCAGTGATGTTGATTGTCAGTTACGTTGATTGTCAGTGCCATGGATTGTCAGTGACGTTGATTGTAAGTGACGTTGACGATCAATGGCGTGGATTGATAGTGACGTTGATTGTCAGTGACATTGATTGTCAGTGACGTTTATTGTCAGCGAAGTTCATTGTCTGTGATGTTGATTGTTATTGACGTTGATTTTCAGTGATGTTGATTTTCAGTGACATGGAACGTCAGTGACGTTGATTGTCAGTGACTTGATTATCAGTGACATTTATTGTCTGTGACTTTGATTGTCATGACATTTATTGTCAGTGACGTTCATTGTCAATGACGTTGATTATCATTTACGTAGATTGTATGTGAATTTGATTGTCAATGACATTGCTGGTCATTGGCGTTGATTGTCAGTGACGTTGATAAACTGTGACGTTGATTTTCAGTGATGTTTATTGAAGTGAAGTTGATTGTCATTGATGTTTATTGTCAGTTACCTTTATTGTCAGAGATATTGATTGTCAGTGACGTTGATTGTCATAGAGGTTGTTTGTTCGTGACGTTGATTATCAGGGAGTTGTTTGTAAGTTACGTTGAGTGTCAGTAATGTTGATTTTCAATGACGTTGTTTGTCATTAACGATGATTGTTGTTGACTTTGATTGTCAGTGACTTTGATTGTCATTGACCTTAATTGTCTGTGACTTTGATTGTCTGTGATTTTCATTTTCAGTGACGTTGATTGTCAGTGACGTGGATTGTCAGTGACTTTGATTGTCATTGACGTTGATTATAAGTTACTTTATTGGTCAGTGACATTGATTGTCAGTGACATTGATTGTCAGTGACGTTGATTGTCAGTGACGTTGATTATCAGTGACATTTATAGTCAGTAACGTTCATTGTCAATGACTTTGATTATCATTTACGTAGATTGTTAGTGAATTTGATTGTCAATGACATTGCTGGTCATTGGCGTTGATTGTCAGTGACGTTTACTGTCAATGACGTTGATAGACTCCGACGTTGATTGTCAGTTACCTTTATTGTCAGTGATGTTGATTGTCAGTGCCGTTGATTGTCATTGAGATTATTATCAGTAACGTTGTTGTCAGTGACGTTGATTATCAGTGACATTTATAGTCAGTAACGTTCATTGTCAATGACTTTGATTATCATTTACGTAGATTGTTAGTGAATTTGATTGTCAATGACATTGTTGGTCATTGGCGTTGATTGTCAGTGACGTTTACTGTCAATGACGTTGATAGACTCCGACGTTGATTGTCAGTTACCTTTATTGTCAGTGATGTTGATTGTCAGTGCCGTTGATTGTCATTGACATTATTATCAGTAACGTTGTTGTCAGTGACATTGATTATAAGTGACGTTGATTGTAAGTTATGTTGATTTTGAGTTAAGTTGATTGTCAGTGACATTTGATTGTCAGTGAATTTGATTGTCATTGACGTTGATTGTCAGTAATAAGTTATATTGAAATAAAAGTTTACTATTTAAAGTATACATAAATAAATGCCACTATTTATAATTAATATTGATAACCTAGGAACCTTTCTTACAATCTTCTACTCTGACTTCCTCGGAGTTCAGATTGGGTTGGTTTGTGTAGCTACAGTGATGCTTTTGTGACTAAAACATAATTTCCTTGATCAAAACCATCCACTAATGTAAGCGAATGTAATTTTTTAACATTTAAGTGTACATTATGGAGATAAAAATAATGGAAACAAATTGCAACTAATTACATATGACTTATGAATAAATTTTTGATTTTTTTTTTTAAACCTACCTGGCTATACAATGGACAAATTACTGTATTTTAAATGACAACAAAGAATAATGTAATGACGAAAAAAGATCATGATAATAATAATTTGATATAATCATAATGAGAAGTTGTTTTTTGTTTTGTTTTAAACAAAGTTCCATTTGACGACACTGTAGACTCCAGCTCAAGCACAGAACGTGATTAGCGTATAATATTCTGTGTAGCACATGTCATAAATATATAAAGAAGTTTCAAACCTGAGAATCCTTTGATAAAAGTATCGGAAAATTGACATACACGGTCATAATCTCTTCCGTATCGTTTCGTCCATTCTACACAATCTATAGGAACACATCAATTAAAACAATTTCTAAACATACTTCACAATGTATAGAAATATTACCGTTATAAATATTTATATATATATATATATATATATATATGTATATATATATATATATATTTATAACCTTTTTCAGCATAAGTTTTGCATTTTTTTGAACAACAACGATTTAGTTTTAACCATAATTGCCTGCTTGTAGAATGGCATTGAAATTTAAGAAAACGTGAGCATTTTTTTTGTTCGTCATTGTTCCATTTTTGTTTTCAAGAATGCCATTACATGACACAATTTCTAGACTTTCTATAATATATTGTTTTAATTAATTAATATATAAGGCCCGCAAGGTATCTATCCAATCATAGAGACTTTAGGAGGCTTAGGTTTTCCAAAACAAGAATGAAGATTGACTATAAAGAGACTAACATAGACATTTATAGTATTGTGTGTCAATTATAATTTCTAGTTGAGGATTATATCTTTATTTCCAATTGCTGTAAGTTAATACACTTCTTGGTGCTGTATTAGAAGTTATATTTCTATAAAAATGTATTTATATAGATACATTTAATACACTTTGTGTTTTGTAATGTATTATTTCTTAAACGAGCAAGCTATTAACATAGAATAAATATTCATAATCATTACGGTACATAACACACCACTTATGCCAAAGATTACCGCACAGCAACAATAAGGAATTGTATCTAATTATATAAAAATCAGTCTATCTATGTTTGTAAATTTGTCGATCGATCAAATTAAAATAAAACCACGCATCACAAACAAGTTTAACATAGTCATTTCAACTGACCTACAGATGCTTCCTGGAAACTTTGGTTATATTACCTTATCAAAAACGCTGTAATTTAAAAAAAAACGAACCGTAAAGCTCTATTAAAGTAATATATTCGATGGGCTTTTGTTTGATGTATGCATTTAAATCATACCGATATATTCAAATTCCTTTCAATGAAAGTATATTATAGTACTTGATAGTACATCATAATTTTACATAGTTCTGGCGCGTCCATAAAGGGTGCTTTGTGTTATCTGGAGGTTTACAGTCATATGTGTTTGTGCATATATTTTAATATCAGCTTCATTGCACAGTAGATGTATTTGTCGAAGGGAGAATAAAACATTTTGGATTTAGCCCCATTTCAGCGTTTAGCACAAGTACGTTCCTAAGTGGGAGGGTGCATTTTGTGAGGATAACAATGTCTCAAAGGCATTTTTTGTACACTCGGAACAATTGTCAGTCCATAGAAGTTTTTGATTTTTTAAATTAAATTAATTAAACTGTGTGCATTTACTATAACTTTAGATAAATACCTGAAAAATTAAGTTGATGTCTCCATTTAAAAAAAAATATATATGAAGTAAATACTTATTCAATTCCAAGCACAATTAATACGTCTAAATATCCTTTATTGATTCGTTAGTTTACAAGATATTCTAGTTCTTTTTCTTATATTCCAATAAGTTTCTATTATTTTCCTCAAACGTTTCGAAATCAGATTTAATTAGATATGGGAATGGAATTGAACCCGAACCGAACACACCGAACCCAAACCATGCTGACGACCGATGTGCGGTAAAAAATATCACAGCAATAAAAGAGTAACGGGAAAATGTCGCAAATTTTGCTTGAACAAAAAGTCAATGAGAAAATGTCGCATGATAAATTACACAAGAAAAAAAATCACAAGATAAGTCGACGAAAATAAGTCACTGAAACATTCCGCGTTCAAACATCACTAATAAATTCTGACAAGATTGGGGAACAAATTTATTAGTATATCTTTTGGTCCGACCAGAATCCCTTAGTGACAATAATTATCTTGAGTGTGATGATAGGTATTTGACTGTACGACATCTTGGGGAGGTGGGAGCACCTTCGTTAAGTCTAATGAGATTTAGGAACAAAGTAACATCAATAGGATACAAATATTTAATCTCAAAGGAGAATTTAAAAAATGACCTAAATAATTTACTGATATTCTCTATTTTCACTTTTTCAGTTACTAAACATAGGCTATTGATGGAATAAAAAATATCATTTCATAAACACTGATAATTAGGAGTTTAATAATAAAAACATATTGTGTGATTTTTATTCTGTACATGTTTTCTTTGACTTTTTTCTTGTGGCCTTTTACTGTGACTTTTTTCTTGTGACATATTTTCCGGGTACTTTTTTTCCTGTTTCTTATTTGTGACTTTTTTTCTGTTACTTTTTTGTGACATTTTCTGTTACTTTATCTTGTGACATTTTTCCTTTAACTTTTTTCCTGTTACTTTTTTGTAACTTTTTCATGTTACTTGTTCTTGTGACATTTTTATGTGACTTTTTTCCTGTTACTTTTTGTGTGACTTTTTTCTGTTACTTTTTCTTGTGACAATTTTTCCTGTGACTTTTTTCCTGTTACTTTGTGTGACTTTTTTCTGTGACTTTTTTCTTGTGACATTTTTTCTGTGATATTTTTCCTGTCACTTTTTTGTGTGTCTTTTTATTTTTTTCCTGTGACTTTTTTCCTGTGACTAATTTGTGACTTGTTTGTGAGACTTTTTTCTTGTGACATATTTTCCCCTGACTTTTTTCCTGTTATTTTTTGGTGACTTTTTCTGTTACCTTTTCATGTGACTTTTTTGTGGCTCTTGTTCCGTAACATTTTTCTTGTGACATTTTTTCCTGTGAATTTTTTTTGTGCTCTTTTACTGTGACTTTTTCTTGTGACATATTTCCTGGTACTTTTTTCCTGTTTCTATTTGTGACTTTTTTCCTGTTACGTTTTTTGTGACATTTTCTGTCTCTGACTGTTTTCCTGTTACTTTTTAGGGACTTTTTTTCTTGTGACATTTTTCCTCTGACTTTTTTCTGTTACTTTTAATTTTTTTTTTTTTTTTTTAAAGCCTGTTGATTGGAAGCCACTTTCTTCCAATAACCTCTTTTTTTAAATAAACCTGATATTAAAATGCAATACACTTTTTTTTTTTTTTTTTTTTTTTTTTTTTTTTTTTTTTTTTTTTTTTTTTTTTTTTTTTTTTTTTTTTTTTTTTTTTTTTTTTTTTTTTTTTTTTTTTTTTTTTTTTTTTTTTTTTTTTTTTTTTTAAAGCCTGTTGATTGGAAGCCACTTTCTTCCAATAACCTCTTTGTTTAAATAAACCTGATATTAAAATGCAATACACTGTCCAGTTTTAAAGTTTAAAAGCCTGGGTCCAACAATATTTAAGATAGAACATATCAAAACAAAAAAAAAATAATTTAAGGAACTTCAAAGTCATCATATGTTCATTTGCTTTCGATACGTTTTATTTACATCTTAAGGCACAGTTTTCGCCATGTATAGAGAGACAGTCAGTAGCGTCATGTCTACAGCCTATTCGTCACATTATGTTCCCGTTTTGCCGTCGACAACGGAAGCAAATGACTGTAGGTATAATGAGGTTGTAACCATCTATCGATCTATCAAATTCTCTCCCACTCTCTTTATATAATATGCAAATCACCTTTAAGTTAGTACTATTCATCTTTGCACCAATTTTTCAGAATATAATTTGTAATTGATATGACCCTCTCATCGTCGAATATGTTACACAATTGTACCTATTTCAAACAAAAGCATAACTAAAAATGTTATTTCAAGATCACTTTTGTTAATTTGTATTTGTATTTAATAAAGAAACATCACACAATTAAAACGCCCAAATTGGGTAACAAAATGTAAAATAAAAGACAAATGAACTCAACCTAACATACCGGTATCTAAAAATGTATAGCTAAATATACTAACATTTAATCATATTATGTTTAAGATTTGATTTTAAATTAGCTATATTAGTTTTAAACCCGCTATAGTTTATACATTTTTCGTTTCTATTTTTACTAAGGCATTTAATGTATCGTTCATTCCAATTTAACCTATTGTTAATATGAAGAAATTACATTGAGCTCTCCACCCATCGAGTACCATGCTTAGGGCGCTTCTCGCCCTACAAGACAAGGGACGATTGTACACATTTCAATACACAATGAATATTAACTAGAACTTGTAAACATAACACTTTAAAGTTCCTGGACACTACCCGGACATCTGATTCGAAAGACCAAAAAGATTATAAGAAAAGAAGAAGTTCTTGTTATTTCTATGTTGATCAATTCACATTATTAATTTACCATTACTACACTATCAAGATAAATATTTTTTTTAAAGTATATATTTTACTTAATTTATGTAAAATCGGTCACAGACAATCAAAGTCATAGGCAATTAAGATCATTGACAATCAACACTAATAACAATCAACGTCACTGACAATCAAAGTCAATAACAATCATCATTAATGACAAACAACGTCATTGAAAATCAACGTTACTGACAGTCAACGTAACTTACAAACAACGTCCCTGATAATCAACGTCACAAACAAACAACCTCTATGACAATCAACGTCCCTGACACTTTACATCACTGAAAATCACGTCACTGACAATCAACGTCAATGACATTCAACATAACTGACAAAAACAATGAACGTCACTGACAATCATCGTCACTAACAATCAACGTCACGGACAATCCATAACACTGACAATCAACGTCACTATCAAATCCATGTCACTGATAGTTAACGTCACTAACAATGAACGTCACTAACTATCCATGTCACTGACAATCAACGTCACTGACAATTAATGTCAATGACATTCATCATAACTTACAACCAACAGTTTTAATGTCGTGTTTTAAATACCGACATTAAAATTATTTCCTTATGTTTTTTGCAGATGAAGTCCACTCAGACCTCGTTGTTGCATTATCTTGCGTCATCGCTGTTTGCATTATGGCATTGCTAACAATCCTGCTTGTCCTGTTGTTAACCAGTTATAAAAAGACCAGGTGAGTTAACGGGGAATAATACACCTAAAGCCATGTTGTCAGATTCATGACGAAGAAAAGCTTAATGTCGTTTCCCCCTTCCTCTTTTATCCGTGAATGACACGATACAAAAACCAAAAAAAAATATTGTAATGTTCTCCATTGTTCAACCCGTTGACGTGATGTAGATCTTATTGTCGCGTGTTTATCAACCTTGGATGTCAGATTTTTACTTGTTTGATATTACTGTCTCTCACCTCGTCTAAAGGTCACACGGACTAGTCCCACTGATAACAGCTGAAACTATTTCACTAAACAGTAATTGGTTTGTTGCACGCTATAATTCTATTCACCTTGACAATTTAACATTTCTTCTAACTCTTACTGTTATATTAAATTATGAATAGTACTCAAAACGTTCCTGAAAAACAGCAACACACACGTTAAACCGTGAATATCCTACAACGGCCAACCATCAACCATAACAACAAAAAGGAACGCATCATTTGCCTTATCATAATACGTCATAAATACCTCCCACAATAGATACACCTTTACATATAATCTCTACACAATACATCTTTTGCATACCAAACATAACAACAGTGATTCTCAAACCCTTGATACCCGTAAATTAATTCACCCCTCCTACGCTTCTTCACCTACAAAGAGAGCAATATAATATATTCTAGGGAAAAAAGGGATGAGGGCTTAAGATAATTTGTGACCATATCTGGGTCCTTGACTTGATTGTTATTAGGCCAATCTATATTTTAAATCGCTTCTAAATAGTAATATTGATGTCATTTTATTTATTTTTTTAAAATCATCTTTTAATTTCCATTAAACTGATAACAAACGCATACATTGTGGCGACGCTCTGACATTACTCTGGTGTGACCCCGGCTAGTAGTACATCTCCATCTGCTGAGTTATGCCATAAGACATTTTCCTCACGTAGGGCTCTCCTGCCGCCCTAGCCTCCCCTGAAACCTCTAGCGATGGACATTGGGTCAACAGATGCGCTATAGTCTGTGTAAACAGGCTGTAATGCAGTATTAAACTTCTAAAATTTGGTTAAGATACAAAAGTCATCTTTCTGTTACGTACTGTTATCAGTATTGAGAAATTAGTGTCTTAGTTAAGTATATAGCTCGTCATAAAACAGTACACAACAAAAGACGATATCATATGTTAGATACAATAGAAAAGAAAACGCTACCCAAACTAGGGCTAATAACAATTTATAAATTATTATGTTAATAATAAATTACAAAATCAAAAAGAAATCAATTAAAGCTATTTACTTTCAGTTTAAGGATTGGCGTGTACCGATACAATGCTGAAGAAGACACAATGTTTTAAAAAGGTACAATGATGAAAGGGAATCTAGGCACACACAGCAAAAGATAATAAAACAAATATTTTTCTCACAAAGCAAATATCTAAAGCGTTAGCAAAAATTTATCTCTCCTTACACTCGCTAAATTTATATTTCCACATTCAAAGACATCTCTCTACCGAGCTTATACATTATTTTATTTTCCTGACTTGTCTAGATTATTCTACAGAATTCTAATAATGCAGACTAAAGATTTTATTTAGACTTTTTTTTTTTTTTTTTTTAATTCGGTTATTGTTACGTAAACGACGTGTTTACATCATCTGTCTACGTTAATGAACTCTTGAATTCTACATTAAAGATGTAAACGAAAATACATTTCTTCTCTTTCAATATTTAACCAAAGCTTGTTAACAGCTACATATTATTTCTGTGCTGTGTAAATTCTGGACAAAGTGTCAGCAATAATTTTATCTTTGCCTTTAATATGTTTCCTGTCCAAATATTATTATTGTAAAAATAGACTCCATCTAAACAATCTTTGACCTTTGGAGACCATCTTACTTAAAATTGGATTGTGATAAGTAAAACAAGTTCTGGATGTAAGGAACAACTGACATAAAAATAAAATTGTTGTAGAGCAATTATTAAACTTAAACATTCTTTTTCTACATTAGAATCATTTTCGAAAGGAAACATACTTTCTTAGAGAAATAAAAGAGAGGATAATCTACCTTGTGATTGTCTTTTTGAAAAAGATCTGCAGAAATGCAAAAGTCGCAGGCATCTATAGCGAATTTAGACTGTTAAAGTCTTGTGCAATGTGAACAAGGGCATTAACTAGTATATTATTTATGTTTTCGAAAGCTTCCTGACAAGTATCTGACAAATGCATTTTTAAAATTCGTCTTTGCATATTACTTAAGTCTTAGAGGAGAAGGAATAACTGATATTTTTTTGCAAAATTTCCTATAGTAACCGGCCATTCCCAAAAAATCTCATTAGCTGTTTCCTAGCAGTGGGTTTATCTTGGCTTGAACATGCTTTACCTTTCCTTGACCCATGATTTGTCCTAGATATTCCACAGTTCCATGACAAAAGTCACACTTATTTAAATGTACAGTTACATTTACACCCCTCCTTGTGGCGCTACAGCCAATGTATAGCTTTGGCCTGCCTCACCACTTCCTTCCACTCAGACCTAACTAATGCCTTTCTTTTTCCATGCTTGGACTTTCAGCTGCTGCAGATCTTTCTCCATATCGTCCGTCCACCTAAGCCTAGGTCTGCCTTTGAGCCTTTTTCCTCTGGATTATTGGTGATGCACCCTCTTCGTTCCTTTGTCATTTGGCATTCTCTCTGGGTATCCTGCCCAGCATAGCCTGCCTATTCTTATTTCAGCTACTATCGTGGCTCACCGGCTCCTGAAACAGTTATTTTTCGGAGAACTCATGACAGGCAAGCGCTCCAAAAGAGGTAAAAAAGCGTCATAAAGACACACTGAAAGTGGCACTTAAGGCCTTCAGCTTTAACCGTACTCAAAGGGTGCAGACAGCCTGGAACAGAGCCAGGTGGAGAGCAGCTGTCAAGAATGGGGCAAAGGCCCATGAAGCCAATAGGATAACTAGAGCTGAGACATGCAGGTTTGCCTAAAAGATCAACATTAGGTCACTGGCTGCAGCAACTATCACGCGCCCGCGGTGAAGAGATTTTTCCGAGCACGGATAGGTCTGGCATGACTACTACGAGCTCACCGTAACCCACACACCCCTTGACCGGATGACTTGATGGTCCTAGTCGACTTCGACGGACGAACATCAATATCCTTGTAACCATAAACAAAACAGGCCAATATACATCTACAAGATAAAAGCTAGATAGAGAACATCATCCCAGCAGGTGTTTGCGAAATAGATAACTCTTAAAATCAGTTTTGAAAGACTCCAGTGTTTGTTTCTGAGAGCGACTGGACGGGTGTTCCGAATTGTTGGGCCAGCAATGCAAATTTCGGTTGAATCTTTTTTTTTCAATTCCCGCGATAACATTTTTGCCAAATTTCTCTTTGAACGAAATATACAACACAGTAAAAAAAAATGGGTTAAAAAAGAAATTTGGCGCAAAATTTGTCTGAGTGAACTGATAAAGCAAATTGATTAAACTTCCGTTCGATCAAAATTTCGTTGGAACAAATGTCCTTTTTTTCAAACAAATTTTTCGATACGATATTATGCAGCTTGATATTATGTTTATGTAAAAACACAATTGTTGTGCAGAATTCCCTGACATCGTAATATGCAACATTAGAAAGCTACCCCAAATACATTCGGCTCCTGTTCAATGTCAACAAGAAAAGCAAGTTCCAAGAGCCATTTGGGATCACTTATTACAGGAACAGCCATCACATCCTTCTCCATGAAGTCAGCTGTGTGGCCGAGTGGTCTAAAATGAGTCACTCAATTGGAGTTCAATCCCCGCCAAAAGCTAAAATCCCAAGCATCCTGGGTGGATGGGACTCGTTAGCAGGCAACACATCTAAGACCAGCACCCCGGGTTAATTTGACTCGTTAGACTTGACAGGCAACACATGTAAGACCAGCACCCCGGGTTAATGTGACTCGTTAGCCTTGGCAGGCAACACATCTAAGACTAGCACCCCGGGTTAATGTGACTCGTTAGACTTGGCAGGCAACACATCTAAGACCAGCACCCCGGGTTAATGTGACTCGTTAGACTTGGCAGGCAACACATCTAAGACCAGCACCCCGGGTTAATGTGACTCGTTAGCCTTGGCAGGCAGCACATCTAAGACCAGCACCTTGGGTTGATGGGACTCGTTAGACTTGGAAGGCAACTCTGAATTGAAGCCAGGAGCCAAAATGATCAATAAATTAATCGTGGGCCCTCAAATATAAATTAAAAAAAAAACGTGTTCAAACAGTATCCAAGAGCAGGCCATGCTTATTAATTATTGATGCGAAAGAAGATGCTATTGTAGTCAGAATTAATTTTTATCTTTTATAGTAGAAAAGATCATTTGATAAGCCCTATTTTTAAATTAACCTAGCTAACAGGCTCGGAATTTACTTAACTCTTAAACACTAGCGGAAACTTCAATAGGGATTATTTGATACTGTGTCAGATTGCTAGGATTTACAAAAGTATAGTTGTGCCGTCCCCACTGACCAACTTTGTAAACCTTTCTCAAAACCGCATTTTGGTTAAATTTGATTTTATAAAATGCTTTAAAATGACAATTTTAGTCCTATTTAAAACGACTTTTACCATAATAATCAAAGTCCAAATCTATACACACATAGTTAGAATCAGATTAGTCGTGATTTTGACTGAAACTGTCACGGACGGTCATAGTATATATATATATATATATGAGCATTGGGAAAACGCGGGGGCTGCATTAAAACTAAACTTTACTGTCATGCAGTGGGCCTCAAAATATCGTCTTGAGAGCCACAATTCTTATACCCTGACCCTATAGAAAATAAAAAAAAAATCCAAATGGGCAGACCGCTTCTCCATCACATACCCATTATGTTGAACATACTGAATATATTCATATTAAAAAAGTTAATTTATAGGTCTATGCATTTGGAAGGGGTATTGATGATTATAGCGATACGTTAAATCTTAATTATTACATACATTTTTAATTATACCAATAAAATCATTACACAATCCGATCTCATAACAATGTTTGGTTCAATTTATTTATATAATCTCTTAAATTGAATCATTTCTTTAGCAGACCCGCACAAGTTTCCCCAATGAACGATGAAACTGAACAGACCGACCAATAGTAAGTTGACACTTTTATTTTTTGCACCTAATTTAAATCGCTTTTTAAAAAAATCGTAACATGTTTTAGTTCACTTTCTTTTTCTTTCACTTAGCTTTATATTTGTGATTATCTCTCATAACGAGCACCTCTCATAACGAGTAATTCGCATAACCAGCAGAAAAGAATGTGAAGAAGTTGCTCCCTTAACGAGCGCGACATTTCGCATAACGAGTTATGCAGAAAGGGGAAGTCCCTTTATATATTATATATATATATATATATATATATATATAATATACATACGTATATATATAAAACAAATATACACTAAAACACTCTTCGAGCGTTGTTTTCAAGTTACCGAAGCGACAATTCTCACTCTTAGAGAGTTTTAGAAAGATCATTTTCACATCGTTGCTTGTCTCAAGATGATTGACAGGGCTTTGGAAGGAGTTACCAAGAGAACCCTCACTTCTGCTTTGAAAAAACTTTGGCTAGAGAGTGTTGTTGAATGTGATTATGAAACAGTACCTGTGGAGTCTACAGTTAACGAGATTGTGTCATTGGCCAATATCATAGGACTCGAGGTGGACAACAATGATATTGAAGAGCTTGTGAAAGAGCACAGTCAAGAGTTGACCACCGAAGAGCTTATGGAGCTGCATCGTGTTTCACAGCAAGATATTATGGAGGAGAGCTCATTGATGGAGGAGGAAGAAGCACAGCAACAATCTTCTAGCGCAATAAGAGAAATCCTGAAAGGATGGGAAAATGTTGTATGGTACATTGAGAAGCATCACCCTAATAAGGAGGTAGCTATTCGTGCTACAATTTTATTCAAGGAAAAAGCATTGACACATTTTCGTCAGGATTAATTATTTGTCATAAATTCATTTTTTTTAAACGTTTTTTGTTTCAAATCTAAATGGTATTCTACGGTGTTACACTCCTTAACAATTCATAAGTAATTTTTTTTGAATAAATGTTAATAAAATTTTTTGAAAAATTAGAATTTTTTCAGCATGGAACGCACTATCGTATTTTACATTGATTTGTATGGGAAAAAAATTGTTTCGTTTAACGAGTGTGTTGCTTAACGAGTAAGAGTCTGGAACGAATTAAACTCGTTATAAGAGGTTACACTGTATATAAGGGAATCTAAAGTAAATGTATTAATTATGTTTTTAATATAATATTCATGAAAAACAAATTAATATTTTTTCACATCACAATTGTGAAATTATTTGTATATGTTCATAAATGATTTATCTATACACAGGGTGGAATTCATAGAATTAGGACTAAAGACACTTTTCTTACAGGATAGGCAGAAAAGATTGTTTAGTCTCTAATTAAGCAAAATCTATTTTTGTCACACAAAAACATATTGGCTAATCTAATCGGACACAAAGAAAAAAATTACCAAACAATAAACCGATTTTACAATGGTAGAGTATCAAGTATAAAAAAAGATTATCCCAATGAGATTTTTAAACGTCCATTTTAAAAATCTTAACTTTAATCTGTGTTATGTACCATTATGATTTTAAAGATTAAATCTGGCTCGTAGACGAAACAATAAATCACAAAAGGCAGACCAAATAGTATGTAAACTAAAGTCTGATCTAACGGTATTCGAATAAATCGATACCAAAGCTAGTGAGACTAACATTCTGTTTAATTATATAATAAAGATCTATACAAACACAAATCTGAATACAAAAGCAACAAAACTGTATCAACTTACAGCAAGTGAAACAGGCCAATAATAAAAAAAATACCCAGTTTATGAAATAAAATAATAAAACCTCTCGTATGTTTAAGTCACGATATGTCTATCTGCTAAGAAGCCTTATGTGCTTCATATTATAGGAATTAAATCCAAATATTCAATGAAAGAAAATCCCTCCCCTCAAAATCCCGTGATGTTTGTAGATGCCTTTCGATTAGAGGCATTGCCACCGACGCCTTGCGCTACTCCGGATATAGCACCACCATGCAGAGGACCTGCGTGTGGAGCGTAAGTATGCATGGTATCTACGTTTGAAAGAGCACAGCTGTGGGGGAACCTACCAAGCGCAGGTGAAAAAAAATGTCCGAAGCTGTTCGGGAACATGATTACTACTGCAAGGATGGAAAGTGATGTTAAATCAATTTCCCACCATTGATGACAATTTTAATTTCGGGTGTTGCAAGAGCAATACCATAAATCGAGCAGGTGCTCCTTGGTTAATATCGTGTGGTGCTATGTAGACGACGTGTTATGTAGTGGACACCAAGCTTGGAACAGCATTTAGGGTGTGCTAGCTAAAAATAATATCTTTTAACCTTGTTTACAACGTAATAAAATTATAGCTTTATCCAAGAACATTTTAGAAGAATCTATAGAAAATTTGAAAGGAAAACAATGCATAAGGTGGTTCTAGAAATATGAGTAAAACGGAATATAAAATGGGGTGTGAGATATTTTTGAGCCAGCATTTTATCACGATATATTTTTACTTTACGGGACGAGAGACGAGAGTTATTTTAAATGTGTGTTATTCTCGCTAGAGCTCTGTTTACTCTATATGTGCGGATTCCTATTCATCGTTGTACGGATTTTTTTCATTGCATTTTCATCAAATTGGTACCGGAACAAGCAAAACAGTACTCTCTAAGTCATTAGCTTTAATGAGATTTCTTAAGTTACTTTTTTCACGTTCTAGTTAAAATAAAAAAAGTATTTAATCAATTTAAATGGTATGTTAAACAATGTTAAGTTACAGTAAGCGGATTAATGTTTATATTCTATGTCTTTCAGGTCTCGAGTGCCAAAAGTGACGAAGGGGGAAACCATGGATAAGGCTAGAGACTTGTTAAAGGACCAGACAATATTACAACTTACAAATTCTAAATTATTGTTAAAATTAATTTTATTGTGATATATATGTTTTTTTTTTCATTTTTGTAGTTTCTTAAGTCTTTTTAAGGGTCACTAGTCATGAGGTTAGGATATGAGGAGTCCAATTGCAAACCCTGCTAAGTCACTTTAGATTTATTTTGAGCAAAAGCACATTTTTCTAAAAGACAATGATGCGCAAATCCTAGAATTCTGGTTTTTGTTCGAGTTGAAAGATTAGCTTCAAGTATATATATTTTTAATAAAAAATATAGCTAAATGGGCATTTTTGCATTTACAATGCATGATAAAGTTATGACTTTAAAAAATTAAACATTATCAGGAGAGGATAATTTGAATCTGGAGTTCTTTTCTTTTTGTAAGTTTTAATGGGGACCTGTTAGCGTTTTCGCCGATTGCACTGAAACTCGTGTCATGTTCAGCCATCTTGAATAGTGTCAAAAGAAATTAAAATGCCAGCAAGCTAAATTGTGATTGGCTCTTTTTTACAACATTTTGTTAAAAACAACCACTGCCTTTGGCTGGTAACTTAGTACGGTTTGAAAGTGAATGCCAATGCAACTTAGGAAGTTTTGCAAGTATATCGTATTTTTGCAGTACCGAAATAAGCGAACTTAGCGAGTTTTGATTTTAAAAACTAGTAAAATATTGTGAAATAGCACTTCATTGATGAGCCAAGGGGACTAACTCATTTTTTTTCGAAAAATCGACTTAGCAGGGTTTACAATCGGGCTACTCATATAGTGTGACGGCTTTTATTTAAATTGATTATATATATCGGCATCGTTCCGTCTCGGGAGACGATGGTGCATCACCGTTGGGTTGGGTTGCATTTTCTCGAGTGGCTGTGCAGTCCTATCCTTGAGTGACAGTCTTTACCACAATTTTTACACACGAGTTCCGTGCTTCTAAGTGTTTTGGCCTTTCTCCTAGCTCTTCTGTCTGCAGCCTCTTCCATTCTTCGCTCCTCGGCTACCATGATGCCCTCTTTGACAACTGTGCGCCACGTAGATCGGTCTTGTGTCTTACACTCCCAGTCACTTGTATGTATTTTGGCTGCTTTCATGTCCCTTTGACAGACATCTTTAAATCGCAGACGTGGGCGACCTGTTTTCCTCTTTCCCGAAGCAAGTTCACCATATAGGAGGTCTTTCGGAATGCGGCCGGGACTTATTCTTTTAACATGACCTAGCCATCTCAGGCGTCTTTCACTAAGGATTTTGAACATGCTTTGGGTATTCGCACGCATTAGGACCTCATTATTAGTCACTTTTTCTTGCCATTTAATACCAAGGATGCGGCGCAGGCATCTCATATGGAAGCTATTAAGCTTGCGCTCTTGGGATGTATAGGTTTGATAAATTGATTATCACGTTCTTAACCGTTGGCTAGGTGTCACTTGTTAGTTGTTGTTTTTTTGTGTCTTTAATGTGTTGTTTAAGGGGAGGTTTGGGTGAAAAATTTAAATTTTTGTTTGGCTTCTTATGGAAATTTGTGAATCTACACCTTATTTGGTATTATAATGGAGGTAAAAATAAGGTTTAAAAAAAATATTCCATTGGTTGCCTTTCGTAACCCCCCAAAAAACTCCACCATTTTAATTTTTTTAGTGTTTTTTAAAACTATATGGCTTTTACAGATATTAGGTAATTGCCATCAGAATTTAAAAGTAGATTATTTAAACTATTTTAAAACTTTATTTAACAGGTCTTTTTGATGTAATAACTAGTTTTAAATCAACAGGGTCACTAATTGTGATCTTTTTTTTTTCTTCAAAAAATAGAGGGTGTGGTGAATGTTTTTTTGCATATTTTCTTTTCTAATGTAGTTATCTTAATTCTAGGATAAATTTTTTTTTTCTAATTGGACACTTGACACGCTGTAAAAATTTAGTGAGCTTTGGATAATAAATAAAAGAGTTATAGGGATATTTGTGGCCAAAGATATTGAAAACAAGAAAAATGAAATAACGAAGAAAAACGACAAAAAGGATGAAAATGTCAATGACATTTAAGAAATTTACATTCAGGTTTGAATGAAAACTTTTTATTAGCCTAGTGTGGACATTATTGATCATTTTCCAGGTCAATTTGTATTTTTCCTGACCACTCAACTTTTCCCTGCGATTGAAGTAGTTTATCTGTTATTCTGTTTTTGTCGGAAAAATAATGATTTGCTTATTTTTTAGAATTTAAGGCGTTATAAAAATAAAAAAAAACATATAATTATGGGGGAGGTACACCGAGAAAAATTGAATAAAATCATTTGTATGCTTTAGCAGTAACCATTGATATCAAGTGAATTTAATTTTGCACAATTATGTGTAATTATTTTTAAATTAGGTTAAATAGTTCCTGAGATATGAATTGATAGAGAATTTATTTACTTAATAAACAGAGATCATTGCGAGTTCATACACAAAATGTAGACGTGTAATTCATATAAAAAATATTATTTTTTTAAATATCACCCAATTTGTTTAAAAATTTTACAAAACGCTATATTATATACTTTTCTATGTTGGCAACTAAGGATTTTTTAATTGATTAATAAGTACAAATTTTACAATCAATCAGAGTTTGATTTTAAAATGTTAAAATGAAGATACTTTGTGATGCTGTGATACAAAAATTACTCAATAAATTACATAAAACTCATGAGTAATCAGTCGATTGTAAAATCTCATTGGTTACTGTATCACATTTTAACACTAATCATGTTGCAAATAACACTGAATAGAGATACAATGTTGAAACCATGGAAATTATTGATATGTTCTTGTCAGTTGCAGTCTTATTTTTTATCCTTCAATAACAAATGAAGACCAACAGGCAAAAAACGGCAGGGTCACATTTTTGTTGTTTTGAGATATTTCGTTTTTAAAGTTCAAAACCATGCACATTAAAAATGTATAAACAAAATGTATTTTTTTTTAAATGCATGTCACAAGAGTGTCAACTTTCTTGAGTTGTTAAATAGATAAAGTAATTCAGTTTTGTATGCAACATGATTTATTTCATTATAGCAGAGAGTGTTGTCAAAATGGCCGTTTTTTCCCTTGTAGCAGTTTATCAAGGTTTGATCATTGATAACTATATCAAACACATTTAAATGTCGTTTGCAAATTACGTCACCCTCAGAAGGGTTGGGTCGAGAATATGCGACACTTTTGTGACAGGGCAAAAAAGGGGTGGGGGTGGGGGGTTCAACAAAATCGTGAAGTTACTTTTTTTTTTTACCTCTAAAATTTTCTAATTCTGAAAAAAGCATACTTTGATTAATTTTTAAAACATTAATTTGAGGTCAAATTTCCTCAGGTATAATAGGTACCATGAAACTCAGTTTTTAATAATACTACATCTCAAACTATTATTGCAGCGGTTCTCAAACTTCCTTAAAGCCGCGACCCTTTAATACAGTTCCTCAAGTTGTGGTGAACCCAACCATCAAATTATTTTCCTTGCTACTTTATAACTGTGGAGTATATGATATTTCTGATTATCTTAGGTGACCATTTTGAAAGGGTCATTCGACCCCCAAAAGGGTCGCGAACCCATAGGTTGAGAACAGCTGCATTATGGGAAAATTTCATTAATAAAATCAAATCTTAGTTTACTTATGAAAATTGTTAGTATGTTTTGAATTTTTTTAGGTGTCTTGACACGAAAAAGGGGGGGAGGAGACGTTGTGAGGGAATATGTGACATTGAATGACAGGGGGAGGGGTTCTAAAAATTTCATTTTTAGAGTGACGGAATTTACGAATGACCCTTTAGGCCAATCCTTTTGTTTTAAACTATAAGTATAAGAATATGGATCATGTATATAACTATCATTTCAGAAAGATATTCTTAAAAATAAAACCTAAAAATCAGATTTAAAATAGTCTAATACTTTCTAAGTTTCTGATGTGCTTCTTACAATTTTGGCCAAATATTAGTTTATTTTCTCAAGCAGTAGCTGTAATTGTATGGACTTAAGAGTAAAACCGTAAAGAGTAACAGACAGAGCCAGCAAGACAGACACTCGAAAATAGAGAGTGGGGGGGGGGAGTCACACAGATTTAAAGCAACAGGGAGAGAGATATACAAACAAACTGCGATAGACTGATTTGTCACTGATAGAGCGACAGCGAAAGAGAAGAGACAGACTCAAACATTAATTAACTTAAAAAACAGTTGTAAAATCTGATTTAAAAAATACAAATGTTATTATTTTAATTTTTTGTGTCCAATTTATCGTGCCTATGTTAATTTGTTTTGTTTTCTTGTTGTAGGAAACAAACAAATTTAGGATTGTCAGTTAATGTTTGCCTCGGTTCAGCGAATCAGCCGCCATCAAATGTAAAATGATGTTAGTGACTTAGCCCCTTTTTCCATTGTAAACATTGGACTATGCTCCTTTTTCCATTTTATGCGCATTTTTCTTTCCAGTTTTCTTATGGACTGAGCCGTTATTTCTCCTTTAAACTTAATTAAGCACCAGCTCTTTTTAAATGGCGATTAGGCAAGAGGGATAATTTTTTTTTTTTAAATTAAAAATTTACTGCCGCTTTTTCCCCTTGAGGTCTTCAAAAAGTGAGCCTTTTGGTTAATATGTGTTAGTCTTCTCTTGTATCCTCTGCCTGGGGTTACTTTTAATTTGATGCATCAAATATATTTTGCAAGGAGGAATCTTTAACAATTGGAAGACACACTTAGGGCACTCTTTTCATGTAGAAATTATCATTAGGGCTAATGGGCTAGGGCACCAAAGATCAGTGTAGTTGATCAACAGACAATATAATTCATGTTGGGTTCTTTTGAGCTCAACACACCTATTGCACGTCTCCACAATCATTCCTGAAAACAATAAACTTGTAGTTAGATATTTTTATTATATGCTTCTCGGTCTCAAAAATAACATATAAGGCTATATAGACATTAGTGAATGATAGGTCATACTAGTTGACAAGTATTTCAAGCAAATTTTGTTAGCATGTTAGGGCTCTTATTTTACTTGAGAACAAAATAACACAAATGACAATGTCAT